CCCTCACACACACAAACACGTACGTAATACCTGTGTGTTTATTTGTGTTGTCTTGTTCAGGAACTTTACAAGTCATGTGTAGAGATGAGAACTAAGCTACAGAAGATGGCAACGGAAGTAGATGAAGGCGGTGATCAAATGAGTGAGTCTCTTTCTCTTAACCTCTACAAGTAGTCTATCGTTATTTTGTCCCATAGTGGTGTATTCTGTTGCTGTTGCTTCTTCTGTTGCTGTTCTCGTGAGAGTTCTGTCTTGTTCACATTTTGGGCTGATGCTGATTGTTTCAAAAATTGCCAGCTGAAATCCGATTCTGTCTCTCTCTCCCTCTGTCTGCGTGTGTCTGTGTGTCTGTGTCTGTGTGTATGTGTGTGTGTGTGTGTCTCTCTCTCTCTCTCTCTCTCTCTCTCTCTCTCTCTCTCTCTCTCTCTCACTCTCTCTCTCTCTCTCTCTCTCTCATATCACCTTTCTCCTATTCCCGTGCAGCTGAAATCTTCCAGCTAAGCGATGAGCTCACCAAGGTATTGGAGTTACACGATAGGAAGATAGCTGGCCAAGCAACACCAGCATCCTCTGCTGGCCAACAAACCCTGGCACAGGCTGCCGTTCCGGAGGTGAGCGAACCGTCTCTGGGTGCTTTCTACAAGCCATGTGCATCTCTGTGAATGCAAGATTTCACTAATGGATGTGTGTGTGTCGTGTCTGTGGGGGCTGTGCATTGCACTGTGAAGGCCTGGCTAGAATATTTACTGTCACTGCCAGTTGATTTGGAATAGATTCGAAAAGCCATACATGTACGTGAATTGCCTTTGAAATGAATGCTAAACGGTAGCTTTCAGTAACCAGCCTGGCCTACTGGCCTTCATATTCTGTTGCTGCTCCTGCTCCTGCTGATGCTGTGCATTTTGAGTGTAATGGTGCACGATAATTGGGGAGCCCATCATCTCTCTTTTTCTCTCTGTCTCTTTCTCTCTCTCTCTCTCTCTCTCTCTCTCTCTCTCTCTCTCTCTCTCTCTCTCTCTCTCTTTCTCCAGGCTGCTGCTGGCGGTGATGACTTTGATTTGCTGGGAGGTATCGGTGCACCGGCACCAGCATCGCAGGCCATGGCGGCGGCATCGACCAGTGGCGGTGGCCTGGGAGATCTTGACACTCTGCTGAGCCTGGACCCTCTCGGTGACAGCAGTCCTGCGATGGCCACAGCGTCCGATGGTGCCGTGCACGGCGGTGGATCGGCATCACTGCTCGACGACCTCGCCATGTTGGGTAAGCCGATCGCCATGTTGCCTTGATAGTGCTCGCTGGGCTGGGGCTCGGGGCTGCTCGCTGGAATCCGCATCCGTGAACGTAGGCATCACGGCGGCAATGACTGCATAGGATCTGGTGTTGTGTACACTGTGCAGTGCACTGCACTGCAGTGCTCACTTGATACCTAACCAGTGCTGCTGTCTCTGGTGTAGCCGGACTTTCCCACTAGACCCTCATGAGTCATGGACTTTTCCCCAAGACCCTCATGGCTTTTCCCCCTAGACGCTCATGGGCTTTCTCCCCTATACCCTCATGGGCTTTCCCCACTAGACCCTCATGGGCTGTTTCCCCCTTGACCCTCATGGGATTTCCCCCCTAGACCCTCATGGGCTTTTTCCCATAGACCCTTATGGGCTTTTTCCCCAGACCCTCCTGCTTGGGGCCTGTATAGAATGCACTGAGAGCCGTTGTGCATAGTCGTTGGTCCCCTTCTAAGCCTGGATTTACCCCGCGCTTCCACTTCCACATGCCGATTGCCAAAGCGATGTCAGCAAACAAACTTGTGCTGGACTACACCACTCAACAGCATGCAAGGCTGATGAGTTGATCACCACTAATTTCACCCACACACATACCCATGCACAATGCGTTTGTTTCTTGTAACAGATATTGGTGGTAGTGCAGCACCGCCCGCTGCAGGAGCAGGTCTAGGTGGCCTGAACGGTGGACTGCTTGGAATGGGAGCACCAGCACCTGCAACTGGACTGGTGAGAGTTGATGTGTGAGCACATTGCTATGATTGTATGAGTGTGTGTGTGGGGGGGGGGGGGGGTACATGTATGGGTGTATGTGAGTGTGTGGATGCACGTGGGGGGGGGGGGGGGATGCATGCATGCACATGCCTAGTAGGGAGTGTCTTGGTTAGCTTACAGCAAAGTAGAAGTTTCCTAACTCTGCATCGTTTGATGTCTGGACTCTTTCGTTCATTGTACCATTGTAGGCAACCTTATCCATGTGCACTGTAGAAGACAGCAGCCTATGTTGTACTGTTTTCTGACAGGGCACTACAGTATTATTGTGGGAGTAGTGATAGTAGGGTATTTTGTTTGTTTGTTGTTGTTTGTACCAAATTCTACCAATACGGTGCATTTGATCTCACAGAGAGAGAGAGAGAGAGAGAGAGAGAGAGAGAGAGAGAGAGAGAGAGAGAGAGAGAGAGAGAGAGAGAGAGAGAGAGAGAGAGAGAGAGTTGAGGAGCGTATCATGTGACATGTGGAATGTCTGTGGTGCGGGCATGGCAGACTGACTATTCCTCCATGTGTGTGTGTGTGTGCTGTATGTGTTGCATGCTATATGCATGTGTGTTTATCACTGCAGGGAATGGACATGCTCCAAGCTACACCTACGCAGCAACAGACAACTGCAGGTAATGTGGCATGCAGCTACACAGCTACGACCTTGCTAGTACGCGTATTGTTGTACGGTCTTCATAGTATGTACAGTCCATTTCAAAACTATAGACGCGTACCTAGGCAAAAACCGTTATGCCAGCATCTATACCACATAAAATCTGTGATCCCTTTGTGCATAATTTTTTCCAAACTGGGCATCTGTTATCCAATCGCTTAGAAACTATATGAGAGTAATTGTGGAGCGGACCTGAGCAATATTCCGAAAACTATTCTCAAAAAGTTTCAGCCAAATTTGAAATATTTCAAAAACACTACGCGTCTATAGTTTTGAAATGGACTGTAGGACTGAAACGATTATCTCGGTTATCCGTCTAATCGATCATTACAACGCAGCGATTTCGATAATGCTGTCTGTTTCGATTACACGATTAAAAAAAAGTGTTCAAGATGTCATGTACATGACTGGTTAGTAGTAAAAATATGAAATCAAAAACTGACTGCACTGTACCCGCACGTGATGTGCCGCTGCGCTGTGTAGAGTACGCGGTTCATCTGCATGTGTATGTGTCAACACGGCATGCTTTGTGCTGGTCTGGCGCAGCAATTTCTAGGACGCAGTAATCGGTATCATAATCGATAATCGAATCGATACAAGGGTAGGTTAACCGATAGTTGAAAAGTGTAATCGTTTCACCCCTAATAATATGACTAAGAAATTCTCTCTCTCTCTCTCTCTTTCTCTCTCGTGTATGCAGGTATGCAACCCGCACAACCCCAAGCTCTTGGAGCCCAACCCGCGGCGGCATCACCAGCAGCAGGCGGTACCGGTGACCTCTTTGTCCCGATCGACTCCATCCAGATGAGTAAGTCTTTTGGGGGCATACTTCTACCGGTTCTTCTTTTGCCTTGCTTCTCCGTACTGAAGGCGTTCACGACATGGAAGTTGTTCACTTGGTGCTGAAGTTCTTAAAAGGTGATGTGTGCATGTGATCATGCGAGCATCGCGGCTTCAAAGTTCGCAGTGTACAGTGGATGTACTACAGTACGCCAAAAAACTGGGGGGGGGGGGGGGGTCAGCCTCCTAGCCTAGACCGTTCTTATTTTCATGTATTACAGTCTATGCACAGTGGAGTCACCGTGTATACATGGGTATGCTGTGCTTGGTGATATTCTAGCCTGGTCGCTCTTCGGCGCTACCCGACAGTACTGTGGTGAAAGCCCTGAACACTGAAATCTACTTCATGTTTGAGGTTGCTGCACTTCTTGTGTTTGTGAGTTGCCAATTTGCTTTTGCCTCTCTCTCTCTCTCTCTCTCTCTCTCTCTCTCTCTCTCTCTCTCCAGGCTCCAAGCCACCGCTTGTCGCATTCGACAAGAATGGGCTCCGGATGCTCGTATTTATAACGCAGGTCAGTGATAGCCTCTGCTGCCCCCCCCCCCCCCCCCCCACCACCCCCCACCACCCTTGCCCTAGGCTAGGCCTTGAATCCATTGCTGGTTGCCAGGTTCAGGTGTGAGGATGATGTGATGTGTACCGCATGATGCACCGTCTTTTTCCCTCTCTCGTACATGGTCGTAACTGATGGGCGTTGCAGTGAGAATCCACTCAGATGCTCTGTCTGCGCACGCTTTGTGTGCATCAATTGCCTGCCCGTGTCGAGTGTATATCTTGAAAAATGAGCTCACCATCAATCACCTTACCGTAAAAGTCCGTAAATAAGTACGTATTTACTTTCGAATTTAGTGACCACACCCGTACCAACTTTCGGGCGGGTACTGACTTTCTGGCACGAACTAACTTTCGGACCTGACTTGTGTGTAGTGGAGAAGTAATTTTCATGTCGATGTACATGTACAATGTACATGCTACGTGTTGCATGTACGCACCGTACCGGTACTTATTTCGGGCAGTATGTTTATCGGGCTTGACTTGACTTCAACAGACAGAGCCAAAAGAATGAAGGGGGTATTTCTTTCGGGCAGGTACATATATACGGACTTTTACGGTATGTTAATTCTCCTACGTATTGTGTGTGTGTGTGTGTGTGTGTGTATGTGTGTGTACGTGTGTGTGTATGTGTGTGTATACGTGTGTATGTATGTGTGTGTGTGTATGTGTGTGTACGTGTGTATGTATGTGTGTGTGTACGTGTGTGTGTGTCTGTGTGTGTGTGTATGTGTCTGTGTGCTACCCTTACAGAATGTACCACAACCTAACGTGCAGACGTACGTCGTGCAAACAATGAATACCAGCATGGCAGCCATTACGAATTTCTCCTTCCAGGCTGCTGTTCCCAAGGTGAGCAATGGTTCTCTCTCTCTCTCTCTCTCTCTCTCTCTCTCTCTCTCTCTCTCTCTCTCTCTCTCTCTCTCTCTCTCTCATAAAATCTAGACTGACAACCTGCTTGTTGAATCATGCACCTGCTTTCAGGCGTAAAAACCCTGTTGTAGAGGTCTCAGTCCTCATTTGTTAGACTTACCTGTCTTTATAAAATGTAACTTACTCTCTCTCTCTCTCTCTCTCTCTCTCTCTCTCTCTCTCTCTCTCTCTCTCTCTCTCTCTCTCTCTCTCTCTCTCTCTCTCACTCTCTCTCTCACTCACTCACTCACTCACTCACACACGCCCACACATGTATACTGAATTACTAATGTCTTACTGAAGTACTCTTTTGTGGCATTCCTCACGATATTGGTATTTTGTGCTGCTGTGTCTGCTGCTCTCCAGTCACAACGGGTAAAACTTCAACCAGCATCAGGCGAGTCCTTACCGGCACACAACAACCCTCTCTCTGCTCCACCAACTATCAATCAAGTGATGCTTATCGCTAACCCAGCACAGGTATGCCTGTCTGTTCTTGCTGTTGATGGTGGTGCTGGTGACGGTGATTTTGCTCCTCAGGGTGCTACTGCTGGTGGTGCTGCTGCTGCTGCTACTGCTGGTGGTGGTGCTGCTGCTGCTACTGCTGGTGGTGGTGGTGGTGGTGCTGCTGCTGCTGCTACTGCTGCTGCTACTGCTGGTGGTGGTGGTGGTGCTGCTGCTGCTGGTGCTGCTGCTGCTTCTGCTGAAAGTGGTGGTGGTGGTGGTGGTGGTGGTAGTGCTGCTGCTGCTGCTGAAAGTGGTAGTGGTGCTGCTGTTGTTGCTGCTGCTGAAAGTGGTGGTGGTGGTGCTGCTGCTGCTGCTGCTGCTATTGTTCTTGTTTAAATCCTATATTTCACAATGGCTCGTGGCCAATATGAGATCAGTAGGTGTTACATGGAATGGGGAATTGGAGCTTCAGTGTTCTGAGCGGATTTTAATATTATCGAAGACAATAAAGTAGTCATTGATAGTGCTGAACCTTGGTGACGATGTTTAGTTGTGCCTGAGAGTGAGCAAGACAGCTCAGTCGCCGAGGTCAAATTCACAGAGCTGTGTGCAAGAGTAAACACAGATTCTCAAGCACTGTTGGATCGGGCTATTGAGCACCCCGTGTTGTTTGTGTGTATGTGTGGGTGTGTGCGTGCGTGCACATGTTTGCGCGTGTCATTTGACGTGTGCTCGTCGCGCAGGAACCCCTCCGATTGCGCTTCAAGCTGGACTTTGTTGCCAACGGATCGCCGTTCTCGGATGTTGGCCAGGTCGAGGGTTAGACGGCGGGCACACCGTCCAACTTCCCTACACACCTGGTTGCGTTTCTTATTCGTATTCCGTCACAACTCACATTGCCATGCTCGAGTCTCCCTTCGCCACACCGACTGGAAGGCTAACTATTGTCTGCAGAAATTTGTAGCGTGCAGCTGAACAGAACCGCACGGCGTGTTCTCTCGCCATGGGCCATACCAGTGAAGCATTACCCTGTCTGCGGCGCTCCTCCCTGTTCCCCTGGCACTTTAATTATTACTCGAATAGTGCTGCAGTCCACCCGTATACACGTGTGCGTGTGGGCGCACGTGTTTGGCTCTGCGCTGGCTACGCTGCCCTTCTGTTTATTCTCCCATCCACTCCTTCACCCCATCATTTCCCCAAGGTCGTTCTTGGCATCACACGCGCGCGCACGTTGCTCATTATTTAGTGCGGAGAACTCTCTCCCCCGATTGTCAGCATTTTCACAATTATAGTTTCCTCTCGTCCCCCATAGACATGTTTATCGGTTTGGCTGTTGTGGGCAAGAGACACGATGAGCTGTTGCATCACCTCTCGTTTTGTTCTGCCTGGCCAATGGCCTCCACTCTCCCCGATCAGTCCCTGATCCTCGCCTCCGCCAATGCTCTAGCACCATGTCGTGCACGCGTTTGGAAATTTGCCGTGCGCGCCATTGATGAAATTTTTACTTTAGTTCAACGTAGGAGAGCGGCTCTATTTCGTTGCTAGTCAATTCTGCAAATGAAGCCTCCTGGGATCTGGGCCTCCCTGTTGCTGAATGTACTGTTTTGCGTATGGAATTCTAGCAGTGCGGAAATCATATTTTTTGCCTTGCTGTCTTTCCTTCTTTAAATAATTATGTCAAAGTATGTGTATGTTGATTTTATCAAGTATCTGTCCGTAATTGTGGGCCGCAAGATGGACGACGTCTACAACTGTGAACATGTGCCTCTTGCCTGGACTGTGCATTTCTAGTATTGTCGTTATTCCTTGCTGCTGCTGGAGTTGGTGGGACTGCTGGTGGGGTTGTAGTCAATACAACTGTGCAGTCGACACGTCGCAAGAAGGTCATCTGGTAAGATTTCCAATTATTATTCCCAGAAATCTCCGTGGTGACATCTCTTTGTGTTTCTATGCCTGGGCACGAGGGTTGTATTCGGCCTAGTCTCCATGGCAATCCTTTGCTGGTCTGGGTGTGAGAGCTCTGTGTAAGATTTGTGTCTCTATGGCGATCCGGCGTTTTGTTGGCCTGGGCGTGAGAGCTTGGGGGTCGGCCACAACAGTGTGCGGAGTTAGAGAACGTTGCCACTGGGGAATGAAAGTCTACAAAAGCAAGGCATCTGGAAGGGGTGGAGGTGGGGAAATCCAGCAAAACAGAAAAGCCTCTTCAGAGAGACAACCTTGGTCTAGAAAGAAGCTTTGCTGCTCAACAATGGAGGAAACAGGAAAAAAGAAATAAAGGAGGCCAAGTTATTATGTACAATCACCGCCAACAACAATCAACATAGCATAAAATCTGCAGACACAATGATTAATTACACAAGAGAGATTGCAAGCTGCGTCACAACTCTGAGTTTCACATATCACAACAATCATCAGGCAACAATGATAATAATTTTTTATAAAATCACTCGCGGCCAACTTTTTTTTCTTTCTTTTCTTTCTCTCCTAAACTTGCCAAGCCCTGGACTTGAGTCACTTACTTCAAAGTACAAACCAATTCTCAATCCCATCTTCAACCAACTGAGCCACACGAGCTGTTCTTGATTGTCAGGTGATAAGCCCTGCATATGAACCCTTGACGGAGCATCCGAAGAAACAGCCACCCACGCATTGGTAAATTTCCAATTTCTTGCAAACACACGAACATACGCACACACGCACACACAAAGAGCTCGGAGAGGGCAGAGAAAAAGTGCTGTGTGGAAGGAAGCACACACATTCGCCAACAGAGATTGAACAATTGGGAAAAAAAAGAAAGAAAAGAAGACGTCCCAGTTCTCAAGAAGAACGAACTAACACACAACAAAGAAAACACAAAGGTAAAAAATTTGTTCAAGGAAGAGTCCTTCGACAAACCCTGCTAAATTAGGCAACACCATGCCAGGACTGATACTATAAACAGATACCGGGACAAAAACCACGTCACTAGAGGATGCCAGTAAAGCACAATATCACTAGAAGAAAATATTAATAACAAAAAAGTAGCAGAATAGGATGATCGTTGGCTGCTCAAGTATATGACTGTGCTCGTATGGTATGTCTGGTGCAGTGGGGGTTGGTTGGTTGGTTAGGATGGAGGGGGGGGGGGGGGGGTGGGGGGTGGACCAGGTGTGCTCATTGTGATTAAAGGCATAAAGGCAAATTTGCAAGGAATGCCGTACGCCGGTGGCGGAACGCTATAAGGCAGACGGGGGTATAAGTCGAGTCTGTTGTGAGATGTGGTACCGTCATCCCACGTACACAGGAACAAGTTGAAGTATTGAAAAAATAAATAAGAACGCATTCGCCTATAAGAACACGTTCCATGACGTGAGCAGAAAAGGCCGTGGGTGTGCTACACACAACACAACACACACACATACACACACACACACAGCACGAACACAGTATACACACAGGTAGCATATACCCAGTACACAGCTTGCTCAGCATATACCCAGCACACAGCTTGCTCAGCAAATACCCGGAATACAGCACGAGCATGGTAAGCTTGCTTGTGAGGAAGACTTTCTGGGGAGTTTGCCAAAAATTGTCTATGTTGAATACAAGAGTACATTCTTATATTCTATATATATAAGCGTTGGATTGCGGTAGTATTCAAAATAGGACAGCGGGATTAGGGCTAGGTAATTAAAAAAATGGAATAGCTAGTACCGAGCCCAGCACAGCACGGAAAACAGCGTTACGGAATGTTTCAGCGGTTCAGTAGACGAATGGCCAAGTGCATTGACAGTGCATACTCACCGAACACAGCGGACACATCGTCGGCGGGTAAACATCACGAGCTCTACACGAGGGGAACGTAAACAGCTTGACCTTCTGCAATGATCACAAAGCGGGCATATGTAGTCGATAGGAAATCCTAGCACGAAGCTTCCACTGGACGATGTATGAATCCAGAAATTCACTCAGAGCGGACAGAACGACTATCTGACGAGGAGAAGGATGAACGGTGATAAGTCCTCCAATGGCAGCACAATTACTGGGGGATACAGTTGACTGTGACATGAGCAACCGTCAAGAAAATGATCCAAACTGGCCATGGAGCCATGTCAATAGCCAGTAGCGGTGATGCCAGGGCGGGAGGACATTTAGTCAGCGTGACGCCAGCCATGAACTGAAGACATGGTGCAGATCTGCACACACACACACGATGGGGGTATCAGCTTTGTTCGTTGGGAGAGCGCGGGGCCAGGGAGAGCAATGCCATGCCTGTGGTCATGCCGAGTACCATCACTAACGCATGGGCAGCCCTGGAAGACGACGGCCGAGGAACGCACACCACGAGCTGGAGAGGCAAAGGCGATGATGATGCATCGCCACTTGCACCACACAACCTTACACACAGGCCACTGGCGACAGCATGGGAGTAGCGTGGCTCCGTCCAGAGACTGAGCCATACGGCTGACCCACAGTAGTATACGGCTTTGGTTTATCACGGACACGTTGCTACTGTCACCGCCACCGCTGCTACAACAACGACACGCATACCGTACACCAAAC